AATTTGATGGCTAATAAAAGAAAAATATATTAGTTATTTTAATAAATTTAAAGAATAAAATTAATTTGAGATCAATCAATTTTGAAAATGTAATGAATTTAAAATCAGATATGACTTTAATTAATAAGTACAAATATATCTCAATCAATATTAAAAATAAAATTAATCAAAATAAAATAGACTAATATTTGCATATAACATTAAAATATTAAAAAAAGGGTTAAAAAATCAACTTTGAAAATTTTCAATTGACCGATCAAATCGGCCAAATAAACCAAATGCGGTGCTGTGTAAATGGGTCGGTTACCGGGTCTGATTTTGAAACATTCTGACGCTGCAACTGTTTGAATTATAGCTTGAATTGAGTGCTCTTTCCTAATATGAATTCGAAATGAATTTCTGTAAATTTCACAAGACATCAGTTCATCTTGTCGAAATGATGATTAGCAATTTGTTTCTTTATCCCAGTGTTTGACATTTGAATCTGTGTTTTGAAAATGTTTGGATTTTTTAACATTTGAATTTAACAGAATGAATTAATGAAACATTCAAAATATGTAAAAATGGAAACAGTAGAGATTGGAAATCAAATTGCTCATACGTGGGACATTATAGCAGGATTGGTGGCGCCAACTCCAACCGACGGAGCAACGCCGTTTAAAAATGAGAAAAATCCAGATCCCGGTGCTTCTTGATCATCAAGAAACAGATCGTCCGGCAACCTACACGCACCGTGCGCGCACACAATCCCTAATCCCATCAGTGTCCCACTCACGAGCAGCGATACCACACTCGTGAAGAAAATCACCACTGCCGTCAGTGCAAGTAAAATACCTAGCATCTCCTTATCTGAGAAGGAACGGCTTCCGATCACGAGCGGCTGGTCCGACGGCCGCTGCACATAGAGGAAGAGCCAAGAACAGAGCAGCGACAGGAGGATGAGGAGAGAGAAAGGATGGGAGACGATCGAGATTGCAATGACGGTTGCAAGTAGAGTAAGGTAGTTGGCTCGGAAGTATGTGAAGTTTTTGCGAATCCTTGAGGTTGCATCGGAGAAGGAGGCCGGACGGGAGAAGGCGGATAGATCTACGAGCTCGATCCAAGGGCGACAGTGAGAGAATGATTGGCGCACGGATCCCGAAAGGTGCCCGACGATGGAGAGTAGAGGTGCGGTGGCTGCGAGTGCGGCGGTGACGGTGGTTTCCGGGGCGGAAATTGGAAGAATCGGAGTAGAAGACATTGGCCAGACTTTCGATTGACAGGGAGCGTATTTGTGGTATCACGGGAACTTTTGAGGTTGAGTCGGGAATTTCCCTGGAGTATGCATTGCATATAAAAGGTTTTGAGGTTTGATCTGGTGTTTAGGGGTGCAGAATAGAACCGAATTTTGCTTAAATACTGGTTATTGGAAACCGTCTACATTCGGAAAAACGGTGTGATTGAGCTGGGGAAAGGGTTTCCTTCGGTTGCAATTTATCAGTGATAGGAAGTTCGGAAACGAAAGTAACGGGAGGAACGTGAGGAGAAGCAATATTTTGAGGTGAGTCTATTTCTTTTTCTTAATTAATTCAGGGCCTATCAACTTTAATTTGGATTTAATAATCAAATAAAAAATTTATTTTCTTTCTTTTTTTTTCTCAAAGTAAGTATATTCTAAGAGAAGTGAAGGAGCATTTGCAAAACATCAAAAAATTTAATCTACCTAAACTTGAACTTGGCATCCAAAACCAATATTTTTGAATACCCAGTTTGGAATTGAAGTAAATTCAAACAT